TTTTGCAGAAAATTTTTTTAAAATAGTTAGAATTCAGAAATTACCAGGATTTAATATAATTTTTTGAAAATATTCAGGAAATTTTCTAATTTAAAATTTATAAAATTTTATATTTTTTACTTTATATATTATAAGATAAAACCAAATTTTTTGAATTTTATCAGAATGTAACCTGATTTTCTCTATCTATAATAATGTATTTATTTGTTGCAACTTTAAGAAATCCAACACAATAGTCAATAGTAGCAACATTGATAACTCCTATTTTGCTAAAGTTATGAAAACATTATATATTATTTACATAAACTTCTGAGTTTCTGATCTAATGTATATAGGCAAGCTTTGATACTTTACCCTCGTATTTATGTGTAAAGTAGAATATGACTTGGCTATAGAACTCTCATTCTTCAAATTCAATAGGTGCCTTTGGGCGATGTGCATTCTTGTCAACTAGAAGTTTTGCCTACATAAGTATTAAATATTAAAGATATATCTAAACCTTACAAGACTTAATAAATTTAACTTGCTACAATCGAATAATTATTTCATGAAACATCTCCCTTGCGATTAGCATATTGTAAAATAATTACCACTTCAAATTTGGTTTGTAATTTTTGGAGTTTGTTATTAGTTATCTAAAAAAAAATTTTTTTATGAATAATACTTTAAAGTGTATAAATAAAAAATCCCAAATATTACTTTAATGCAAATTATATCTAAATCAAATATGGTTGCATAATACTGTTTAACCTTGCAGATCTCAGTTTTTGTTATTAAACATTTTTCAAACAATGAATATAATTTTTCTTCATTATTTTGAAAATTAAAAAAATGCTTAAATGATTGAATCTGAGACTTTTTAGAAGTTATCCCAAAGATTTCCTAATTATATTTACTATGAAATTGCAAATGTGTAAATCATGTCCATGTAGTTATTTGTTTTGTTAAGTTTACATAAGGATTTTTTCGTGAATATACTAAAGGTATTAGCATTCCACATAATCTTTCTATCAGAAATTGCTATGTCATCCATGCTGGGCCAGTTTGAAAGATCGAATCAGAAATATATAAAAGATAATAGAAGCTGATGAGCATTGCTGAAAGATGATTAGGATCTTTTTGGTAATATTCTCTAAATGATTTGTAATATATAAATTCGAAGCATTAATATTAAAAAAAAAAAATTTTATTCCATAAATAAAATTTTATTTATAAATATAATGCTATAAAGCACTGAGTGGTAGGTTCCTATAATTGTACCCACAGATTAAAAGTTATGTTCACATACTCGGCATATTATATTTCATGACTAGCATCTTTTATGCTCTGGAAAACACTTATAAATATCTGAATACATCACTTAGCACTTTAAAAGAATACTATTTTAAATATTTAAAAATTTACTGCTCATAATAATTAATAAAATCTATGAACAGCATTTTAATTTTTTTAAGTTCTTCATTAGAAATGGTTGGTTCAAGACATAGTTGAGTTGCCCTAACAAATTTTGCCCAACCATTTATATGCTTGTAAATTTTAAAATGTTAAAAATTAATAAATTATATATATAAATTAAACAAAAAATTAATATATATCTTGTTAGAAAATAATTTTGAAAGAGTGAAAGTGAATACAAGATTGTCCAATTATACCAATCTTCAGCTTTATAGCTGTTATAATATTTTTGAATATTAGTTGGTGGTCTTTCGAATTCCAAGAGCATTATTTTTCGGTTATGCTCTATTATCATTCCAATTTTATTCTAGTTATATGCTGAAATCCTGTATTCAGTATTATTATTAAGTTGTTCATTATTATAAAATTTATCATTAAAATGGTGAAACATATATTGTATGACATTTTTAAAAAGTGTATGCATTATGTCTACTGATAATGATGCTGGAAAGTCAATTGAACATAGTTCAAATAGGCTGCTGTACCCATTTATGCCAGTTTTACATTCTACTTTATGTTGTTTAGTTTTGCTTTTACATTTAATTTTTTAATATCTCGAAGATAACTACTATGAGTGTGCATTAGTAAGTAATTGGGATCATATATAATACTATTGTGTCCTCGTGGTGGTGAAAGTGGAAAGTATATATGTTAAGCAGTTTTAGAATATGTTCCCTGTAAGTAACAAAATCGACATCTACTGTAGGCATTGTGACCAGATGTACATATAATTTTTGATAAAGCTGGAATATCTCCAAATACTGATAATATATGACTTCATAATGTGAACATTTCCTGTGTTAATGCATCATAACATGACACATCTGCTATATAAATTTTTTATACATGTTAGTCATGTCTTATTGTAAATTATAAATTAACGAATTTCTATTTTGTTCCAAGTTAAATAACATGCACTTGACTTTGAATATAATGTATTAGAATATTAACTGATTTTAAAATTAATACTTAAGATCTATATTGTAATATAATCTACTATTACAATATATACATTTGTACAAATTAGTAACTAGATCAATTCTTTTATTCAAAATTTTGATAACTTTACCTAACTTAGTATATTTCACACTAGCATATGAGATTATTTTAATCTAGGTCAAATTAAAACTACTTTACGCATCATATGACAGGTTATTTTAATTGAGTCAAAGTCAAATTATCTCTATAATTAATTTAAAAAGCCTAAATTACCTTCAAGACATTTTAGTTTATCTATTAGTGGTTGTAAGAAACTATTAAAATTTTTTGGTAACTTTGGGTCTGGAATAACTGCAGCTATCATCAAATTTTCTTTCTTTACTCTTTAAGATGGAGGTAGATTCGTGTTTAGAAATAAAATGATCCAGCAATCATTTTGCTTCTGCTTGAAAAATTGGTAACCATCCACAGACATAGTAAAGCAATATCACGAGGGTCTGAAAATGGCCCAGATGCAACCAAAAATCTATATTGGTTACCATCAAAGACATCTCCAATTTTACTATTTTGAGATAAGTATTTCTTTTTTGATGTGTATTCATGTCGATATCGAAGAATTTTTGCATATGCTAAATTTTTGTATTGCATTTTTAGACTGTCAATTATTGAAAAATAAGCAGCAGATTTTTGAGCCTTTTTTGCTACTTTTTCTGATAAATATCATGGTTTTCCACAAATAGGGTACATTTTGCAGCTAGAATTTTCTTCACTAAATATACAACAGAAATTCCAACACATATCTACAAGTGTTAGTTTAATCAGAACTATTTTACTGAAAATTGTTTGGAGCCTATATAGAGAAATCTCAGAAAGTCCAAATATTTCCATAATTTTATTAAAAGCTTGATCTGTTAAAGTATGCTTGTTTTTTACATAAAGAAGATGAAGTCCCTTAATAATATTATCTGACAATTCTTAAATAGTTTTTTTAAAAAAATATATATATTAATATTAAGCAAATAAAAAATAAAAAACTAACAATTCGTATGCTAATAAAGTATCTTGTTAGAAGTGTTACTTACCAATTTCAGGAATAAATCCATCATTATTATTGTTTTCTTGTTCAGAATTCTGATCATTACTACTTTCAAACTCTGTAAAAGCTATATCCACAAACTTGTCAAAAGTTTTATATAAAAAGTTTACTAATATAAAAGACAGTAATTGCTGGCTATTAATACCTTCATGTTCAAATTCCAACTCACTACCTTCAAGCTCCAATTCCAGCCCACCAGCTTCAAGTTCCAATTCCAACTCATCAGTTTCTTCAAACCCTAATTCCAACTCATCACCCTCTCTATGATCTAGTTCCATTTTATTGTTATTATTTAAAAAGCTACTTAATGTATAAAATGAGAAATTTGATGTGAATTCAGGAATATTTGTTTCCTGGTTTTTCAATTGACTATAAATTGGCATGTTATTGCTGGATATATTTGAAATTTGTATAATAGTTGATGGGATGTTATTTAATATATTATGTGAACTTTGTATTTCTCTTTCTCATTGCTGATGCCTGATTCGGAAAGAGATGCTAACTAACTTTTTAGCATTACCAGTTTCATTTTAATAAAATACACAAACATAAAGAACTAGCTTTCCCATTGCTTTAATTAAGTAATTAGTTAAATAACATGATAATAACTAATGTAAAATTAATAAATAAATAATAACCTTCTTAATTATACTTCAGGATTTTAATTTTTTTTGTTAACAAAGCACAGATAAATCTTAAAGTTTATATTATTGTTAATAGTTTGACTTATTACTATCTAATAATTCCTTTTATTTGTAAATTTCCATTGATATCTTTGTCTTGTATACATATACAGATCGTAATATAAGATACATATTTACTTTATTACATTAATTTTGAAAAAAGAACCTTTATTTATTATGATTCTTTTTCTTTTATATAATTTTAATTTAACTTTTATTATTGTGATGCAACAATTGGTTATTATCTAAAATTGTACAAATATTAAAATAAGCTTGCATGCATAAATCTTGATTTATCTAATAATAGACATATTACTTGATTACAGTTATACAAACTACAATCAAAAGTTTTTAAATCGATATTGAGTTGTTGGCTTCTTTTATCTCAAATAACATAAAAGTCTTTAAATATTAAATTATTGGTCTCTTTTTAAGAAAAAATTGATATCTTGTTTTTTTTCATTTGCACTATACCTAAATATTAATATTCACTTTGATTGCTTTATAAAATATAGCCAATAATTTGAGCAATACAAGTTACTATAACAATGCTATTGAATCAAACCCAAATATTGCTTTACTTCTTCAGTTATTGTCAAATACAACAACATTACAGCAAGCACTTACTTTCACGACCCCAACTACATCAGCATCAAGTGCTATTATAGGGGTTGTTAACATATCAGTAAATAGCTTCTTTTTTTTTTAAAAAAAAAAAGAGAAAAAGAATTCTAATTAAATTTATTCAATAAGTTTTCATGAAGGTCTGCACAAAATTCAATTATAAAAGAAGAGTGAAACAATGGAGAAAAACAAAAAAAACAGAGGAGGATTGGAAGGATTTTTTGTGTTTATTGCATAATACATACTGGACTTATTGAATAAATTTTATATCTTGTCTATTCATATGCACATTTATATGATAATTATCTTAATTTTGTATATAAAGAAACCTACATGACAGGTTAGGAGCTAGTTGCCAAAAGGGCAAGTATGTGTCAGGTCAGGCATCAGGCAAAATTAGAACAATAATTAATAATGTACATATTGTATAATTATTACAATTTTATTATTATTATTGTTTTTATTATAACAACTATATATTATACTTTCTTTAGTTTAAGCGTGAATTTCTGACATTTCCAGTTTCGGTTGGAGATTTTGTTTTGCAAAAAATTTTGAAAACATTCTTGGAAATTGGGGTAATCATTCTTTTTTATTTCAATATTAATATAATTTTAATAGTTTAATACATAAAAATTTCTTATAGTTGAAACTGAACACAAATGAAGATCAAAGAAGCCTATGATCGAGGCATTACACCTCCTCCAAAACATAAAAATATCACTCCTCCTTTAAATAATAAGAAAGTGATACTAACTCCTTCATCAACATTATCAAGTTCTCATAATAAACTACTAAACTCTATTACTACATTTTTTATAACTTCTATTACTAATCCAATTGAAATTGATAACAATGAAGTTAGAGATAATATTGATGCTGAATTACTCTCAAAAACTGATGTTAATATTAGCACTAAACTATATTCATCTGAAATATCTGCTCCTATTGCACACTTTAAAAAAGTGATTGAAAGTTGGCTAATAGTAATAATCGATCATTAACACAAATGAAACAGAGTGGAAATCCTTTTGGTATTGAATAATCTTTAATATTTAGCTTTTTTTATTATTTAATATTTCTTATTGCATTTATAATGTAATATATAGTGAAGAAAAAAAATAGTAAAACCAAGTTCAAAACATACAAATAAAAAGTGAATCGAGTCTGACAGTAATAAATCTGAAGAAAAAACTGAAGATACTATAGATGTTAAATTATTACTATCTGAACTATTGGATACTAATGACAATGTTAATACTAAACTATATTCATCTGAATTATCTATTTCTATTATACAATTTAAGAAGACAGTTGGAAAGTTGTCAGACAATGATTGGCCATTGACACAAGTGAAACAAAAAGAAAATTATTCTGATATTGATTCATAATAATACTTGTTTTTTTTTTTTAATATAATTTAATATAATGACAAAAAAAAAACAGTAAAGCAAAATTTGTAACTTGTAACTAAAAAGCAGACAATTGTGCAAATCAAATCTGCAGCGATGAATCTGGAGGTAATGCTGAAGATAATATTAATGCTAAATTATTACTATCTGAACAACTGGAAACTGATGACACTGAGCTATATTCATCTAATTATCTGCACCAATTACACAATCTAAAAAGACAACACCTATTACATAATCTAAAAAGACAGCACCTATTACATGATCTAAAAAAACAGCACCTATTACATTATCTAAAAAGACTGTTGGGAAGTTGTCAGATATTAGTAATTGTCCATTAGCACAAGTGCAACAGACTAATTTAAGTAGAAATTATTCTAATATTGAATCATATTTAGTACTTATCTTTTTTTATTATTTAAGACTTCTAATTGTATTTATGTTTAATATGTAGGAAAGAAAAAAACAGTAAAGTCAAATTTGAAAAAGGTAACTAAAAAACAAACAATGAAAAAACCATAAAACTAAAAGTGTTAAAATATGAATACAATGTTATTATAGTTTTCTTCATTGCTTATTATTTTTTTATTGTAAAGAGTGTTAAATAAAAAATTATAGCATGTAATAGCATTGTATAATTAAATATAATAAATTTGTAAAATACCAATTGTATTTCAATTTACAATTCCTACAAACATGTGAAATTTATCAGAAAGTATTCCAACTTTTTAAGTATATACCAAATAAAAGTTGCAATATATTTTGAATATTTCTGGAATGAAATATCTTATTAATCAATTCTGAAATATGCTTGATTTTTTTGGTAAAAACAAACCTAATTTTTGACACTTTTCCAAAACAATCTGATTACAATTGGAAAGTTCTTATGTCAGAAAACTGGAAAATTTCCTGAATTAATAATTTGGGGCATTTTTAGGATATATCAACAACTTTTTTTTTTATAAGGCTAAAGAAGAAGAATTTAAGTCAGCTGTAGAGTATTACTAAAGGCAAATCATTTCAAATTTATTTCAAAAAAGTCGAAAAAACATTAGAATACTTACTATGAGAAGAATTTTTATGGACCAATAAAAATTTTTCAAAATTTTTACTAAATGTGTATTGCCAAGAAAAAAAATAACTTTAAACTTTATTATAAATTTGGTTAAGGTATCTTAACAACTATTTTTTGTTTATTTGTTAAGAAATCTAAAGCAAAATATTTTTAATAATATTTAAAGTTATTCTTTTTTCTTGACAATACTCAAATATTTTATTTATTATTATATTTAGAACTATTCAAAATATTGTAAAATTATTTTAAATATTTTGAATTATTTCGAATAATTTTGAATTATTTCGCAATACTTTGAATTGTTTCAAATATATTTAAATTTAAGTTCTTACTAAATTTTTATAGCTTTTGGAGAAATTTAGATTATTGAGAATTACCTTAACTACCAAGATTAAGAATGCTTTGTTTGCTGTATTTTGGGATCTCTTAATCCCTATTAATAATAAAGCAAAACCTGAGATCATTCTTGAGTGAAAATGATTTGAAGAAACCAAAACTTGTTATATGCGACTATTTAAGAATACTTTGAAAGTTTCAGAAGATACTTATATATTACTTATATTAAACAAGATTTGGCTCTCTGGTGATGCTACTCTAGAAAAAGTTGCATATGTTATAGCAGTTTGTCAAACTATGCTTGATCCTATACAAGATAGTTTGATGATTTCTAAAAGCATTATAAAACACAAACTTTTAAGAAATTTGATATGTATTTATTATATTATTATAAAATTTTTATTTATATAACCAAAATTTTTTTATATATTAGAGAAAATAAGCAAATAATAAAAAATTTTAACATTGGATACAAAAAATAATACATTAAGTTCTAAAGAAAGTGAAACTTCAAAAGACTCTAAAAAAGTATAATTTTATGTTTTATATTTGAAATTAATTTAATATATTTAAATATTTGCATATATTTGTATATAATTTTGATTATTTTAATAATTTGTAACTTTTTTATAATTTTTAGAATATATTAAATGTATAACTAAATATTTAAATATTGATGTTTTTATATTGGTTATTCAAATATTCCAAAAAATATTTTTTATTAATTATTAATTTATTAAA